TCAAAATTTTGCATTCATCTTGCACCTTCGACTTTAAGTTATTTCTTATAGGGACGCAGTTGTAAGAGTTTTACAAATGTGCATACACTGCATTTCGATAAAGGAAATGCATAAATTTCGTATTCCTTGCGATTTCGACGATCGCATATTCAACGTAGCCTTTTTTAAATCCCCAGTCTACTTAAATGGCTGACCCACTTATATTAAGGTACACCAACGGTACATTTAATATACATTATATAAATGTAAACAGTATATTTTAATGAAACAGAAGTTGTCGTATCGTCGACGCTCTCTGTTCCTCGTTTAAACGATCGATAAGCACGCACTTCGGATTCAATTAACGATTTTTGTTAATGAAATTAAGATGTGCCCGAAGGGTGCACCGAGGCTGAAAACTTTTTACAAAAATTCATGTTCACGCAATCGTTTTAATTCATCTCTCCTCCTTGCACTTCCGCTCCTTTTCATACTCGTCGGAACAGTGTCGCCACCTACCTCCGTAGCGCCACTCTACCTGTCTCTCCTTTATTCTTTCCATTTCATTCTTTAATTGCTTTTTATTATTAATTATAAACACGTATTTTATACTTTTGTAAATATGATTCTTATACGGATCTTCCAGTATAATATATTTATTTTTTACCTTTCGATTAAACTGAAGTGAATAAATAAATGAAAACGGTTAAATGTAAAACCGTTTGAAATGGCGCATGCGCGAATGCTATCGAACGAGAAAGCGATGAGTAATGTTTTAATGATATAAATAAATAAATACAATAGTACATTGTGGCGTCTCGAGGTGCCAACCAACGAAATCGTGATTTACGTTTTACATCTGTTAAATTGAATATGTCAATTTTAATTTTTGTAATCGCAAGCTTTTATATTTCCCGCTCACGTTCCCACGCTGAGTGTACCTCGGGATGTATCACGATTCCAACGAAGGTACTCGCGTTGCGTAGTATACTATAACAGACTACAGCGATGATTCCTGGACCGTAAAGTGATAAACAATGGTATGGGATGGATCACATGTAATATTAATAGACATTTTTTTTCTATTCCATTCATTTTGCTATTATCACGATGACTTTTGCGTTTCTTGCGTCTTTGCATTTCAGTATAAGCGCGTAGAGCAACGACTAATTCTTCGGATGGGCCGCCTGTTTTTGCATGGTCTGGCCCAAAAACGACAATGTGCAGTATTTAATTCTTCTACGTTTGTCTCTAAGACGTAATTTTAATGAGAGTAACGTGGGCGTTTTGGGAACGTTCGTTCGTTTCCTACAGGTTCGGTGTGTTCCGCCATTTTAACCGTATGGCTTTTCGCCGTCATTACCGAAGTAATCCGAAGATCCACGAATCGGCACGAATCGACTTCGTGTCTGGTTAAGGCTCTTCGACGTTATTCCAAGGAAGGTAGTAAATCATTTTCGAGTTTAGTTAAAAGATTTAGAATGTTTTTCTATTACTAAGACGTATTTTTCGTGACGCATGTACACTCGCGGATTTTTGGTAGGTTATGATGACCGGTGACAAATATGAAAATGGCCGAACTAACCTGAACTTGATTTTTAGGTATTAGACGCATTTATATGACACAATTATAATTCGAGCTAGCTAGACCTAATGCGAGTATTAAGAGTGTTTGTTATAATTAAAAATTATTTAAAATTATCTGAACGATATTTGAGGAGACCAGATTTGACTATGTTACGTCGACTATGCACGAATATACATATACACAAAAAACCCATATGGGAGATGAACAAGGAGCACATCCGTTTACACAGGCACACAGGAGAATTAACTGAATTGAACGTGAGATTAAGAGAGGAATAAGTAACCGAGGCCATTATAATATTGTGTAATGTAATTATTATGGTATCAATAATGAAAATATATAAACAATTGAAAATACGACGATTAATTCAACGCTTACGGCCGGTCGCACCAGTTCCAAATTTCCTTCGCTATAATTGTCTCTCGATCGTACGTCGTTGCGTCTCTCACTATTTTATCTGACCGATTTCCAAAATGATCTTTTTAATGGAAAACAAACATTCAAATAACATTGTATATTTTGCCTCGAGTACACACAAACTTCTGTCGCCGGTCCTACGCGCAATCTTTGATAAATTTACATTAGTCTTAATTAATTAATTAAGGCGAACATACAAAACAAAAAATGCTGAAACGAGAGAACATGGGAGAATGAATGAAAGTGCGTGAGCGAGACTGATTTAAAAAAAGAAAATAGTTTATTAACATATACTTACTTGTTAGCTATATTTATTAGCTATAGCCATTTGATGCGATTTGTCTGGACAGAAGGATTTTATGATTTTTTAAAAATAATTTTTTTTAGTCATCGTGTGAATTCAATCGGTTCGAATTTCAGATTAATGTTCTAAATAATTAATACGGAGGGGAGGAATGACCCATCACTGACCCATTTTTCTTTTTCCTACTGCCATCGCGCTTGCGAAATGTCTGGCGACACCTGGCAGTTATCACTTATCAGTATTGCTCAAAGTGACATGTAATAATATATGGCGACATATAAATTGTACGCTTTTAAACTACGTAGTACAGGACTGTTGTATCGGCGAAATGGAAAAATAGCGAAATGAAGGAAATTGTTGAAAAATAGATAAAGAACTCGATTCCTTCAGGTGATTTAATGTAAACTGCCATTTTGAATTTACAATTACGAAAATCGTTAATTATACAAAATCGATTCATTATATTCATCGAACTAGTGTGCACGCAAATTGTAATTTCCACATTTACCGAAATGACACTTTCTTACGGAATAATTTCGAATTATGAAGAAACAAAATACGCGTGAAAAACTTTGACACGAGTATCTCACCTCGAAAAATTACATGCGTCTTCTTCCCTTATTTCACAATTACTACGCATTTTACGCGTTTACTTGATTATTTATTATTACATTCTTACGAATGACAATTTGAAGTTAGAACGTACTTCCCGGTACCTTTAAAAGTTTTTCACTGCACGGTCGGTAACTGCGTAGTCCTTCTTTCCCGACAAGACGTGTCGACCGTCACGAGTTCCATTTGTCGAAAATCATGTGTTTTGCCATTGCGCCGGCCACGCTGCGAAGCCATACTCGAGTTTCACAGGCGGACCAGAAGCGTGCGGACGCATGAAAGCATAAACAAGAACAACGGCAACAATATAATTCATACAAACCATGTTCGTACCTGTTATAATGATCGCTCGAAAAAGTTCAGTGCACTGCGTAGTCATTGTTCGTTGCACTGAGAATACTAATAACACGTGACAAAAGCATCAACAACAATGTACGTATTCTGTTGTTGTTCGTTGTTAAGGGATCGCGAGTGAAAAACGAAAGAAACGAGAAAATGAGAGAAAAAAATTTATATTGAACAGTCATAAATTTTTTAATAATAATTACTGAAACGAATACCACTCTCAGTGGGATGAGAGTAGGTGAAATGGATTTAATGATTAATTATTATGCAAGGCACAGTTATGGATATGGGGATTATACTTCGTTTCGTAAACGTATCTTGAAAATATTTGTATGTAAATGAATGACAAACAATAAAAAAGTATATACTGTATTCGACCAACCTAGTGCCAAATGATTGACTGATTGCTTAATCGAATGACGAATACATTGGGTAATTGTAAGGTAAGGAAAAAAAATGCAACCGAAGCGTTCCATTATTGCGATTTAATATATATATATTTTATATGTTTTACATTTGGCCTTGCTACTTGTGTGAGAATCCTTTCAAATTTGTCAACGTACTGATAGTTAAAGTTAGACATGCCAATTACAGAAGTTGTGGCAGTGAACAGTTCCTTGTTGTGACGTCACACAGCTACTGTATCGAATGTAAATGTAATATTGATCCTCCACGTTTATACGGATTTGCCGAGTCTTTGGTATTATGTATATACATATATATATTCGCTTATTCACAGAGCTGCGCTTTTATTCTTGTATTACGGATTCACACGTAGCATGCTCACTAATGTTTTTCTTCATTTTTTAATACGAACGTAGATCCACTTTAGATCAGCACTCGTAAGCTCATAATTCAACGAGTGTATGTACATACATACTTTCACAAGTGATCCACTAGAGCCAAACGATCGTGACTCTTGAGTCATGAGTCATGATCGAGCTAGGCGATTGTACCTTTGTTTTTCTTATTACGTAGATACGAAAATTCTCGTAACCACGTACATGACTTTTTATTATTAAATTTATCGTATTGATTTTTACGTCATAAAGAACTATTCACCCCTAGGGTATTTATTTCCCGACCTTTTTTACGTTCCCTATAGCTCCCTCAGCATGATGGAGTAATTACGAATCGAGTATAGAATATAGTACTGTAGATACCTCGTATAGTTATTTTATATCCTCACGAAATTGATATTGTCGAAAATCTTCACTTTATCCATATGTACACTCAACGTCATCAATGCTTGGGCCCTAAATCTATTTTTGTCTCTGTCCCACTCATGTAATATAAATGGGAGAACTCAGTTGGTAAGTCCAGTCGTTAATAACGTTGAGTATAGTCACGTCATGGATCCCTTTCTGAATTTCGAATAGACCTCCTGCCAAGGAAGCACTTTGAAAGTGAAAAGAAATGAATATAAAAATTGAAAGAGACAAGGAAAAAAGTGCAGCTCGTGAAATTAAAATAAGAAATTTGGTGTGGAAGTAGGGTACAGGCTCTATATAGATGTATATTGTGTACTCAGTAGCAACAGCACCAGGAAGAAAATGGAGTCGCGCATCGGATCGATACTATGTCCAAGCCCAGGGGATGACGACTGCCAGGATGAAGGTTCATTGGTTTTCCTACGCTTTCAACGGGGTAATACAACACAAAAGAGCTCGTATCTACGTCTGTAGACGCGATCCTGAGTACTTTGTTCCTGGAGAGGGAGATTTGCTTCTGTCGACAGCGTGGCAGGTCCCCCCTCCCTCCCACGTCTAGCTCGGCACGTTTATCGAAAGTCAGAACGCTGCGGACTGCCGCACGGGGCACACGTTTTATTCAAGGCTTTAGTGTCTAGAGATTCTTATTCTCTCTCTCTCTCTCTCTCCTTTTTTTTACTTGTCATCAATCATCGACTTTCGAGTGCTCGTTGAAATTTGTACATTTATATAACCTTTTCATCTGGCTACGTTCGCGGGAGAATATTTTTCGTCTGTGTTCTCACAGCATTCTTTCTTTCTCGTACGATGCAATATTGAACGTTTTTTTGATACTACACGTTTCGAGGAGCAGGAGTGTACTGCGTGAAGTTTGTGGAATTTTGTGACGAATTTTTGGTTTAACTCAATGGTGGTATGTAATACCACATTACTATGCTGTGATATTTGGAAATTTTTTGTAATTTTGGATCAAACTACCTGCGTCCCTGGGCGTTACTGGTAGGTTAAAACTCTGCGCGTATGAATCTTCCTTGGTAATATTCAGTGTCTGGATTTAAAGTTCCCAACACCTGGTGAGTTCGTTTTTAATCATTTAAGAGTCATTAGTTAAGTAATTACTGTTTTCTGTTTATGCTTGTTAACGGAACGCCCTTAGGTTTTATTGCTTGATTTCTCTGCGGTATTCTCACAGCTCCTGTATCATCGATCCGTTGCTAGTTTACTTGGTTCTCTTTCGGTGCAATTTTTTCTTTTTTCTCTTTTTATTGTAAACATTTCGATTGCACTGCAATATGATGATTTTTTATAGTCCATTCCTACTTTTATTTTGTTGTTCTTCTATTCTTAACTTGATAATAAATATCTTCGTAACACTCTTACCAGCAGTACAGAGCGTAGAATTTTATTTTATTTACTTAAGTGCTGTAAGTAATGTATTCTTCAGTGTACAGAGCGATTGGTATGTTTCTTTTTGAATATTTAATTTTCTATTTTTTAGAAAAGGAAAAAAGTAATAGCGTCGACGTGACAGCGTGGAAAAAATTACATGCTTATTTTCTGATTGCGGGTCAAGGTTTATCGTCCTTGCGTGTCTACCTATTTTTTTACTGTAAATAATAATAACAAAAATATAAGGATAAGATATACCGGTTACCGCATAATGGTTGATGAATAATGTCGCTTATTGAGATTTTCTTCTAAGGAAAAAATAATTGTGACTATTTTTAACTCATTCTTCATTTCATGTGAATTACAATCTTACTTCATTGAATCACAAATCAAAAATACGAAATAATCAAAATACTAACACGAAACTTGTTTTGTTGTGTCTACAGGCCTTGCCTGAGAGGAAAAAATCAAGAGTGGACCACGTGCGAATGACAGCTAAGGGACACCGGCGACCACGTGGTACGGAGTAATCTCACTTACTCTGATCACATATAACTATATGAAAAAAATTCATATTAATAAATTTAATGCAACAAGAATATTGAAATTAAATATAGTTAATAGGAATAAATGAATAAAAAATTATTATACAAAAATTGGTGATAGGACAAATAAAATTATGAAAGTAGTGTAAAAGAGAATTATTAAAGAAAATGGTAAAATTACTTGTTAAAAATATATATATTGTCAATATTAATCGATCAGCGATAATAGCAATATAAAATTTATAGTTGATACGAATTGTTATGAATATTTTAAATCATGAACAATACTAAAAGCATGTATTATCTTGTCCAGTTTTGAAAAGGATCCACAGCAAGAACAAGAAAGTACCAGTGTCAACTTCACTGTTGAAAAGAACCTTGTGAGAAGAGGGTCCGTACAGAAAGGAAGAGGAAGAAGGAGTAGCAGAAGAAGAAGAAGAAGAAGAGGCGCGTCAGTCTTGAAGCAATGTTCAGAGCGTATCAGGATAGTGCCGTTTCGCCAGGGTATATGCGTGGTGTATAAATAGTAAGTGAGAGTGGTGGGGTTCGCTCGCGGGTGAAAATAGAAAAGAATGTTTTTGGAATCCAATTGGACTTGGGTGGCAGAACGATGGGGCAATATGGCCGACTTGGCCGAGCGGGTGGACGATCTGATATGCAGTTTTGACTCGGCTGGTGACACAACGATGGATACCTTATCGATGCTGATATTCGGCTGGATGTTGTTCGGTCTTGTGGTGTTGTGCGTTGGGAAATACGTGTATAATCGTTTTGTTCTACACGAGATCGGCAGCATCACTGGCGGTGGCACGAGCAGCATCTCAGGCAGCGGTGGAACGATAAGCGGCAGCGGTGCAGGAACGAAGGACGGTCACCTGCTGCACATCGGCGACAGCGTCGTGGTCGCCGGGAACGCTGCGAGCAAGTTCCTCATACCGGAAAAGGCCAGAGCATCGATGGGGAAGTCCAGCACGACCGGAACCCTAGGAGCGGCCATTGGTTCCGGTGGCGTTTCCTCGCAATCAGGCGGTTTCGCTGGTTCGCATGGAACGACAAATGCCACTGGCTACGTACCGCCCACTCCGCCGGTCCGGAAACGACTCACGAGAAAGACTTCCGGTCCCCTGATTAGTCCTGCCAGGAGCTCCCGGGCTCTCCACTTGCCCACTGCTACCGGTGCCGATCCTGACGCAGTGAGGTGGGTCAACGAGCTGATCGTCTGGCTGTACTCTGACCTGGTCATTCTCAACGAATTATTGGCCACCTGGGTCGCGTCCCTCAACGACTTCACCGCCAGTTCTGTGGAGGAGGTGAGTCATTTCGTTGGCCGATGTTGCAGTTTGTATCATTTATTTTCATTATCCCTGTTGTCGTTCTGCGTCTTGAACCAAAAGAATAATGAGAGCTGCTCCCTTCCTTGATCTGTTATCGTTCAGCCATGAACTCTATCGGCTTATTTTCTATCTTATTTTTACAAATTCTTTTAACACAGGATCCTATGTGGCGTAACATACTTGGACGCCTCTCTGCACACACTAGCTACAACAGTCTTATTTTCTGCTTTGCCACGGACCTCAGTAGCATTTACTGACTACCGCAGTGAGCTGGTCTAGGTTGCTATAATTACAGAGTACCGGACGCTTATGAATACATGGTTTATCTTTTTCATTTTTTATATAATTTCTTACATCACTAGCCATACCGCAAACTCATGCTGTGACCCAAGCCCGGTTGACTTCAGTTCGTGAAATTTATCAGGCTACGGTTCAAAGGTTGAAGGTCGCCAAATAGAACCACAGGACAATACCGTGATTGGATCCGTTCACTTCCTAGACATAAATTGTACCTACATACACGCAATATTACAAATGGTTGCAAACGTGGTAACGGGTGTGGATCGTTTTCCTGGCTTGACCCACATTCCAAATGTGCTTGGCAGTACTCAGGGAATAGAAGGTTTTCATCGATTTTTCTATCTCTTCTCTCTTAGACCTTTTTTTTGCTTTTCTCATGTCTTCGCTCCACTGTATACGGGCATAGTCACATAATAGACTTTGTGGAAATTTATCGTACCTGGATAAGCGGATAAATTCTAGATTTAATTAAGGTCAGTCGAATTCAATTGGATTGCTTGGATTGCTTTAGAGGGAAACTTTGAGGAGCTAAAGTCACTGTGTTGCTGGCTCACTAGGCACAGCACTGTGACCACTGACATTTAGCTCAGCCGCTCTTACTTTCTGGGAATATCCTTGACACCGTTGGCTACTTCCGGTCATTACTCTTTCTGCTCTTTATCATTTTCCTTTAATATCTCCAGGCATACTTTGCTCGTCTTTGAACGATACCTTAGGTATACATTGACTTAACCAATTGTTTGTTTGTTTCTTTGTACATTCAATATGGATGCCACTTCCGGTATGACAGCTGCACCTATTACATTCACCAGACATAATATTACTCATGACGTAATGGCCACGCGATGGTCCATTAAAAATTATATAGTTGTTAAAATAATGGTGGTTAATAAATGTCATGAAAATTGGAAAATTTCGTAAGCTCTAAGCTTCCTCTGATGTAAACAACGATTACAGAAACGAGTATACAGTCAATGAATGGTACAATAACTCGATCGGAAATCAATAATCAATCCTCATTAATGGTCGATCGTAACATGTTCTTTCACTTTATTCTGTTTTCTAACTTTATCTGTATCTTTTTTTTAAGACTGCATATAAACAATTGCCACGCTATGCCTGGTTTACATTTTTGGACTTGACACAAGGCGTAACAAACCGAATGTATTTTATGCTTCGCAAATAGTAATGGGGGTTACTCCCCCACTTGATAATAATCGAAGTGTGCCATAACTCAAGATTGCCCACGCAGCTCTAATCGTTATCGAGTTTAAGTATAGAAAGTTCCTTATCCGAAGTCATAAATTTGAAGAACTTCACGAAAAGCATGCACGATTAATAATGGCTGCTTCTTTTTAACGGGCGCTGTTATCGCATAACCAGCTGTTTCTTATTAAAGGGTCCTTGTGTACTTCCTCTTGAGATACCATATACAGTTTGCACAGTGTACTGACATACGTATTAAAGCATGAGAGCCATTGATAATTTTTCCAATTGTTCCACGGGGAACGTTATATATTTTTTTTCGATTATGACTGTCTTCGTGGACGCTGTGACCATGATCAATGATCTATTGGATTTATATGACCTGTCAGCTAGGCTGTGATGGCAGTTCAAATGGTTAACAGCAACTTAGTATAATTGAAATATGTCTTTATTAAGCTACTAATGCTCTAGACTGTTGTATTGTCATTTTTTATTATCGTCCCACTTACGTAATAACTAAGTCGTAACTCGTCACTCTCCTGTAGTTCGTGACGTCATTCAGCTCCTACCAATCGATTCCACCCGCATGACATCATCATTCAATTTACAATGTAACTCGTTGCTAACGTCTAGTTCCCATGATAGCGATCGATTATGCTCTTCGTGTATGTAAGACTGACGATTTTATGTTATTCGCTTTTGGCGTGATTCAGTGAAACTTGGCTAAATTTATTTTAAGAAATTTAAATTTCCCGCGGTTAATAACAGAAAATTCAAGGCTTGTTATTATTAATATATAGTATTTGATAATTGCGGAGCATTCCTTGGCTGCCGTACCGACCGGAAACATTAGGCACGATGACGAAGTCGATATGGAGAGTACAGCAATATTGAAAAAATTGTCGTTCTTGTCAAAGTGTCCGATTCGATTTATCCGAGATTCAATTAAAAAATAATAGCTAACGAAATTGAATGGTAGCAAAAGGATAATTCGGTATTTACGTCGTTTCTCTAAATCCACGAGAAATAAAATAGTCCTGAAGAATATTTCGAATTCAGCGTACCGTGAAGACGCTATGCCGTTTTCGAGGTTATGCCTATTATCAACATTCACTTCTTAGTGGAAGCGGCGAAAATTTCGTCACTGGCTGTCAGCGGCCTCGTGGCGTTCTACAGCTGACGTCATCGTTTCCGAAATAGCTCTCACGTAAATTTTTATTATACTTTAACATTACCCATAAGGTCGATTAACCGGCTTCTGAACGAACGGCTCACGTGAACTGGCCGTTACGCGTTTGAAATTCAGGAACTTCGATCGCGTCTACCGTACCTTGCGATAAAAGTCTTAGGGCCGTATTCAGATTCAGTTCTTCGTTTTAAGCACGATCTTAAGACATTCTCTACCAAGTGTTATTATTACTATATATATGGTCTTAAGACTGTGCTTTGTGTCAAGCACTGACTATGAATACGGACCTTAGAGTATAGTAACGCGACGAAACTTTCCAGGATTTTCGAACCGTCTGATCCTTTTCCTTTCTTTTTGTTTTTTTTTTCTACCACCTCTTCGCGGGTCGATGAAATGATTTATAAAAGAGACCAACATCATTAAATCTACGACGAGCACTGCGTCCACACCGTTGCGTCATAATTTTTATAGCTGCGACCCTGGCGCCTTGCCAGAGGCAGGAAAAAGAAATCATTATCGACACGTGTCTCCCATGACTGAGTAAATGGGAGTCGGTAAAATCAATCTTTTCCCATAGCTTTTTACTCGTATGGTAAAACAGATTAATATATTTTTATTCGTCTCCTTTAGACTCTAACTAGAGTCCTACGATGCTCCTGTTATTGAGTAACGAACGAAATCTATGTACGTATCTCATTGTTTATTACTCGCACGATATCAATTATTGTTCAATCGAAAACAAAGTGAGGCGCGTGAGAGCGAAATCTGTGGAATTGGACTGTGAGTCCGTTACAACGAATAGAATAACTCAGAAGTAGAATTTTACGTCGCTCTCCTCTTAGGTTAAACGAACCTAATGACTGACGAGTATAAAATAATTATTTAATAGGCTTTTTTTAGTTCATTAAAAATTTACGTAAATTCACTTCCGAAAATTCACATGTGTAATTAAGCATTAATTGTAGACAAAAGTGTGAAATGTGTAGACAAAAGTGACTATGTTCAGGCTTGGGAACTTCAAAATTTATTGTTATTGCATTATTGACATATTTCCAGATCGTTCACGTTCTATACAGTGACATACGATTAGACGCACTGGCAGATAGTAACGAAGCATCCGCGGGTCAGTAACATCGCTAATCATTCCCATTCATAAACAAATTACTCACTGAGCAAGAATAAATCTTGCGTAATCCATTGCGCTGTACTGGAGTATCTTAAGAGGATTTTCTTATTATTTCTTTAGTGTACATTCTACATTTCTTCCCTCTTATTTTAGTCGCATCCTGTTTATTGTGTTTCAGCATGGAGTCGGCGTGGAATTCGTACGGGTACTACCTGAGACGCACTCGCCGAATTTATCGAATATCTTTTGCGAGTGCGACTCCAAGGATGACGTGGTGAGTCATCAGGATATTTATATACATTGTTGATCCTTAAGATATTAATCGATACGCTCTTTATTTGATGGGCTAAGTGAAATCAAGATATATTTGGAGAATTATCTGAATTGAGTGGACTATAATCGTATAGCAGAGATAAGATCTTTAGCATTTTAATTATACTAAAAAATACAGTGATAATGTTATTTTAAAATTGTAATCAAACAAAATATAATTAACTACTCAGATTCTGATAGCGTTTTCGATTGGTTGAAATTTCTTAGACTGGGAGATCTGACGTGTAGATCTGTTTGGTGCAAGCCTTACACCGTGAGCGTCATTGGGTAACAGTATAGGTGCACTTCGAAAATTTGAATCGAACATAAGAAAGTTCAAATAGCCTAACGTTTCTGTCAATCAAATGCGCACGGCGTTACACCTTTAATCCGGCAAGCCAATCGAAAACACTATGGATAAAGCTTGCTCTTTTGGATAATTCCGATAGCATTAAAAAATGTATAAACAAGTCAAAGAAAGACACGAGATTTATCATCCCGGTCAGTAGTCTATCTCAATTTTTTTTTACACGCGTGAATAATTCTATAACGTTCCATCTTGCACTTGCGACAAGTAAACGAAACTTGAAAAATTTGAGGATCGGTAGGTCCGGTGAAAAGGTTTGAAAATTTAATCATCCTTATGTTTTGCAAATTTCAGACAATCACTTGCGACTGCGAGGCTACTCCCGCCTTGCAGCTCAAGGCTTTTCGACAAAAGGGAGATAGGGTCGAAACCAGCCATTATCGCGTCAACGTTAATCGATTTCGAGCACGACTCAACGTTGTTTCTATAACTGAGAAACTGTTGCTCGATATAAAGTGCGACGGGTGGCCTGAGGTGGGTGAAGTCGACTGAAACGTCATTAAGTAAAAAAAGTTTTTTTTGTCAAAAAATTCGTTAAACTAGAATTGTTCTTTATTTAATCCTGAACAATCTTTCTATTTCTAGGTAAAGGTGTCCTTGGCTCCTGTAGGTACTATAAAAAAGGATCTGGATGAAAGCCAACTTCAGGAAGTGGTAACAGAAATTGTCGTCGGCGCACTCAGGGGTACCAACGTTCACTTGAACTTATCTCAGTATCCGACTTGTCCAAGATTATGGCGCGAACCGCCGCCACAGCTTGGATATCCTCTGCCAGTCCACTATGACAGTATGGTGGGTAGAACCAGTATGAAATATTGTCTATGATTAATGAAACTGATCCAAATGTATTAATAAGTTTTCTATGTCGGCACTGATAGTATTCAATTAATTACGACAGTAGCCTTGATTAATTTCCAGAAGATCAATCTTAAGGTTTTACAACGGGCAGATATCAATGCTTGCTCATTGTGAATGTTCATCCTTTATCTAAAAAAATGTGTCAGTGCTAATTATTTTTTTGCTTGGGTATTCTCTTGGGTTATACGTATGCAGGAAATGCTTTTTATCCTTTTTGCACTGTTGGTTCGGACGTCGAGTTTTTAATTGCCTTACTTGATTGATATTGGCATCGCGCAGCTTCAATTTAAGGAAATCGACTTCTCTGACCTCCTATGTAAATTACAATCGCGTGACTGTTACTTTGCACTGTGTACTGTATACCGTGTGCTAAAAAATATACTATATGTTGCATAAGCTATAGGCATAGTGTAAGATAGTAGACTGTACTATGATTGGGTCACATAAATTACTCGGTAAAGTCTACTTAAGTTTACTTGCTACAATCTCTAATACTATAAGCACACTCAAAGTATACTTTCTACTGTTATAATTGAATAATCAATTGGTTCTCTTGTATAACATCATTTTTTTTTCTATTTCTTTTAATCAAAATTATTGAATGCCAATGTGTTTTAATTTATCATATTGCAACAATTGCAGCTGCTGCATCACGTAATTGTCAACACGCTTTTGCGGGCTTAACGCTTTTGGGCTCTTCGATTATGCTTTTTCTTGTAGAACATCTCGAACTCAATGATACATCCCCAACAACATCCTCAGGTTCATTCGCAATCGACCAACATGCAACAATATTTGCGTGGCGAGAAACGACTGCTGGTTAAAGTAGTGAGGGCGGTTGATCTTGGTGGTCAGGAAGGATGCAGGGAACCCTACTGCGTGGTGGAATTGGACGAGCCTTCCCAGAAGAATCAGACGTGCATTAAAAAGGACACGAAGAATCCTGTATGGGACGAGGCTTTCTTATTGTGAGTTAGCCACAAGCATTCAAATTAATGTGTATTCTGGTAACTAGTTGTGGTTACTATGGTTTACTATAGACTGCTATTCAGGACCATTGAACCACCTGAATATGGATGATTCCAAGGTGGAAATCAATAGAAATCAAATGAACAGAAACATCTTCAGGTGGTTGAATAATACTGAATAATCAATAAACGTTTATTGTATTATGTACGTTATAGCTGTTACAAAGTTTTCCTTATAAGTTAGACATCAGTTTGATGTAAATATTTGATTACAGCGATATCAGCCACAACACGTCTGAGGTACTTTTGGAAGTATACGACAACGTAAACAAGAGCCAAAGATTTTTGGGATTGGGTATAGTTGGAGTCGAGGAGTTGTTGGCCAATCCTAGTCAGAGACAGATAATACCGTTACAGGCCAGGCCTTATGAACAGGACGAAGTTACAGGCACCCTGACTGTAGAAGTAAGTAATATCAAAGTGTCTCTCTTGAAATTCAATGAAATTCAAAATAATTGTGTCAATTCGAATTGCAGTTCCTGTTCATCGAGGGTGCCGAAGTACCACAAATTGGAAACAAACCGTACAAAGTGAAGGAATCAATTAAGACCATCTCGCCAAGTCGTAGCTACACGCCAACGAATCTACTGAGCAACAATAGCCTAAACTACAACAATGGTAACAGCACACTTATCTTGTACGACTCACCCGCTCAGTCTCCAGGGGGTAATTACCGAATAATTGAATATTTGCGAGGCAGTGTTACCCCTTTTTATTACAGTGTGCACCTTATTCTTTTAAAACTCATATCAGCAAGCTATATCGCGAATACCATGGACCCTTCAGTATCACGGTATCTATTGTTGCAACGAAGGCAGAAAGGGATATAACTTCGTTTTAAATTTAAAAGGGTCTTTGTATGTTATTCGTTCCAGTGCATTAATTTTATAGACCAGTCTGTTATCTGTTATTAAACAATTCAATGTTCATTGGCGCTTTGATGCAATTTTTGCATAAGTATCTTTGTACGCATCGATCATACACGCGTGCGAGTCACGCACGAGTATACCAAGGACGTTGCCAAAATTTACACTAAAGGCCTTGTGCCAATGGGTAACTGACCTTAAGCAAATTATATTCAATGCACTTGGTATCCATTTACTAAGTACGTAGAGGAGGAAGAGCTTATAATTTCAAGCCGAATATTAATGTCCATGATTGCTATTGAAATATACGTAACACAATGGTGTCCGTGGTGTTCAGAACTTTAACGCACTACGTCATGATGCAGAACACACGGTCCATCCGGAATGAAAAATCCTGTAGAAATCAGCGCCAGCATGAGGGAACCCCTATACAGAGAATCCAGAGCTTTTGGTTGTCTTCATTCAAAATAGTCACAGTCGCAGCATAAATTGGTAGTAGTTGCTTGCAAAGTAGTGGGAAATCATTGATAAAGAAAAAAAGAAGCTATATAAACGAACAGCCATTCAGTAGTTGTATTTACAAAAACTGTTTTTTTTTTTCACTTGGAAAGAAAAGGATTATCTATATTTATTATACTCTTTTATTCATCTGGTATCCAGAGCACTATGAAGTTTTCCTTCTTGTTTTACTCAAGTGTATGACCTCCCCCCCCCCTCCGTCCTTTCTCCGTAGTTTACCGGTTAACAAAAGTTATTAATTTTTGTTGTTTCACCAATTCGCAGATTACATGATGAATGGCAACAACGTGGATTCTCCGTACAGAACTGGACAGATGAATGGAAATAAGGGAACGCTGATTGTGCATAGCCAGCAGAGGGTAAGGGTGACTGAATTTGTTTTTATTTGAAGAAATTTTGAAAATGGATCTTGCAAAGTCTATGCAAAGGTAAAAAAGACGTGTGCGTAATTGTTAAAAAATAACTGGAGTTTTTATGGCTACCGAGCGTTGAGTTTTCAAGTGAACCCTTTACTTTGATTTCCTGGTCTGTTTTAATGTTTATTCTAATCAAGTTTTTTTTCCCATGTTTGAATTTTTTTCTACCGCTTTCTTTTTTTACAGCAACCTGAGCGGCAGATCGTGAAGGTGAGAGACGTGAATGATGCTAATTACAAAAGATAAATGAAAAAGAAAGTTGCACATAAGCAATTACCTCTTAACAGTGAATGAGGCACGGTTTGTTCGACCATTAAATAAGTTTGTTGTTTATAACAATCTATAACACTATGGTGTTGTAAGATCATTTTGAACATTCTCAGACAGACACGTCTTTTTTAAATTCTTTTGGATGTTGCGGTATGTAGTCGATTAACGTGTGCCAGTTAATTAACTTACATTTTTTTTTTTAAATGGTACGTTCCGAGTGACATGCATATTTTTTTTCTATTAACAGAATAAGTCTGTTCTGGTGAATTCATGCCTGAGAATAATTTCAATTTGCAGGATTATTAACATTTGAGTGTCGTGTGTGTTTATTAATCCCCCAGGTCGCCTTAACTGAGGATGGAAGCTGGCAAGAAGTGTCGCCGGAGGTAAATGCAAAATTTAAAAACCAAAAAGCTATTAACAATCTGTGCGCGCAGAATTAACGTTAAGCGTTCGTGCATCGTTTCATAGACTGAGTCACAAGTATAAATTAAACTATCATACGGAGCGGCATTCTTAAACTATGAGTCACTACTTTATAAAATATTTTTAGCACGGAACCAAGGATACCAGCGCTACTTCCGGACCGGAAAGCACACCCAATTCTTCAAACTCTGAAAGCTTGAGAGGTATATATAACGTAAATAATTATTTTTCTTTATATTCACGCTACACATGGTATGTACCAAAGATATTTTTTGGATTTTTAACGCTCTCTTTCTTTCCCGATAGAACGTGGAAGGACCCGAAGAAAACGACGTGACTTCTTCGGCACGATAAAGAGGCGTCTAGGTCGGTCGAAAACGAGAAGTCGATCCGTCGGTAATGAGGGCGAGACCAATCATGAGGAAGCTCATTCCAGATCAATATCGGCGGACAGAGCACGTGATCCTGGATCTGGTATATTTGAATATTAAATTAATTATTCAAAAGCAATAACAGCTATAGTATAATGACAAGTCATGGTTGAAAATACTAATGAGGACACACTATGATAATATTAAAAGTAACAGTATTTATTTATCAACCAAGTACACAGACTGCTGTACCGTATCTGTAGGGTTTCACTGCGTAAAATTTTACTTTATTCTAATAGAATTTTGAGAAAAATTAATAGTTTGGGAATGTAAATATAGCCTATCGATGTCTCTTACTATGGTATCTGTTTGGCAGTTTATTATAGCCCTTTTATGAGTTTTCATTTTCTCTCTACTACACTTTTCTATGTAATATTTATGTACACGTTTATTCTACATTCTCTTTCGCTTGCGTGCATAAAACTGTCACGGCACCTCAATTCATTGGTAAGTTTGTCTTAATTTAGAAAGGAAACACAAATAGAACTAATCGCATAGTCTGCTTAGTTTTTATAGAATAGTGGAAAATATCTTGTCATTGATTAGAGTCAACCTCAAATACACCTAGCATATATTTAATCCCTGCTCATCGACATTAGTCTATTTCTTGTTCTGCTGAGCTAAGAATCGCAGCAATTTAAATATCTGTCAATTTTGATAAACAAACAGAATTTCGTCATATAACTTGACATTTTCAGCATTGCTGTCGGTACCAGGAAGGGAAGAACAGTCGAGAAGATCTAGTCTGAGCGAAGCCTCGGCAATAAGCGGCACATCAACGAGAACCTACGTGAACGAGGCTTCCACTCTCGTCCTGGAAACACTTGAGAACGGGATCAAAAAGTATGTAAAGAGAAAGTCCAATCTTAAAATATTTAAGGAACTGGACATTTTCGACGTTTAATGAGTGCTACCATTTTTTTTTAAACCGACACTGATATACAATGTGTGAAAAACATTTTCAGACACTACCTCGTACCTTTGTCCCTCGCACAAAAGAGCAAATGGAGGAAAAAGGGAACAAAACTTCACATATTCAACGATCATACGTTCATCGCGAAGCACATGCAAGGGTGAGTTACAGACGTCATTATAAAAATTATCATATCGACAAAACAGTGATCTACTTTAAAGAAAACATAATTATTAAAAATTTTAGGGGCACCATGTGTCAAGTTTGCAAGCGCACGCTTGCTCGAAGATTGGGAAAGCAGGGATACGAGTGTAGAGACTGTCAAATGAAATGTCACAAGCACTGTCATGTCAAAGTTGACACCACCTGTCCGTCGTCCACCATACAGTCAATCGAGCTGTAAGTATTATTCATTTTTTGCTCTTATAATACAAAAAAAATATTATAAATTGTTTCTTAGAAAATTATCTAAACTCGATGTAACCAACATTTGGATGAATCAGTAGCAATTATTGTTTGGCAGAGGGGTTCGATGAGGATAATTAATTGTTTCGTACATACACCAAGCTTCGAGGCACACTCTGTGTAATCAAAATAAGTATGATCTAGTAAAAAAGTAGTCTTGGTCGGCCATTTGCTTGTACCACTGGTTGTCTATACTTGGCTCAAGACTCGACCGAGTCCCTTGAGACAACACGTGTTAACATTAAGCACACATTGCATATACATACATATTTTTGGTTAAAAACACCCATTGGCATTTTAACACTTAACTGTGTAGAAATTGTTGTTCTTCTATTTTACGTATCTCTCTCTTTCTCTCTGTCACTCTCACATGTAATATTCATTAGGCGTATAATATATAAGCCGTATCCATTAACGTGTTACGATATTATCGAAACAAGTTTCTAATGCAAGTTTCTTTTGAAATATCTGCCAAATAAGGTCCCTACTGCCACTTCTGAGCGAATAAGATAGGTAAGCTTTACGGAATACGAAAGATATAGTATTTTGATTTTATACAGCATTGCAATCTCTACATGGGATTATACGCCTATGCAGCTATGAAACTACTTTTTTGAGAGGTTTTTTCTTTGACTCTTTGCACTTGCTCACGTATTAATTCTTTATGATCATCATTAATATGTAATGTACAAGAAACAAAGTTTGACAGATACCCTTCTTACAGAATCAGTGATCTCTTTGTATCTTGTTTAATTTTTCTTGTGTTTACTAATCGCTCACTTTAACACAGTCTCTCTCGATTTCCTATTCCTGCGATAGCGCATGCGCAGTTGTTAACCTATTTCAACTAGTGAAATTGCAACGTGGTCTAGTGTATGTATGCAGTATAGTACATCTTTATAGTTGCACTTGGATAATCGTGCCTGAAGCTTACAGTGCACTTTGAAGGATGCAGCTTGATAGTGAACTTTTTCATGCTGCGTTCAGTCATTGCTGTTTAGTGAAATTTTAAAAACCAATTGTTACTACCAGAACAATAATACTGAGCCCTATTTCGTTTAATATTTTCTAATGACGCAATTTAAAATTACTATTGTTATTTATTTCAGAACGTGCATCAAGAACCCGGAATTCGAACGAAAACCATCGAAGCGACTATGTTAGTGAGGACTTTCTTTACTCGTTTATACGCCATACATTTTAAGTAGTCTAGCTATGACAAGAATCAATATGAATTTGTCATTCATGACAATCGTGGAATCAAACTACGATAAAGCCAACAAAAAGAAGCAAATAACAATTTTCCGGTGAACGTATGACGTTGATTTAGTCTGCTTGAGTTCTGTCAAAAAGTTGGCCTGTTCGCTTAAGAGGAATACGGCGGTACAGTTTAAATGATAAATTATTTATTGAAAACGAAAGAGAAAGAAAAAAATTACTTTTACGGATTAGATTACTGTAGAGAAATCTCGTCATTATTTACCGGTAAATTGTAATGAATAAATGGCGAAACTTCTCGCGGATTCAAAGTTTATCTACACATGTGTGATTTATGCGGATAGTACACGTATGCGAGTATGCGCACACAGATTCACGAAATGACGCCTTTTTACATAATATATATAATATTTATCGAAGTTTTTGGAAAACTTCAAGCACTATTTCTCTCTCTCTCTCTTTCTCTTCACACCGTTTTTACTTGGTAGATACGCGTAGCAAACACTGACCATTTCATTACGCTCCTTCATATGTGAGATATACATATATATAATCATTGTCTATGGAGACGCTAGTTGAAAAGGAAAAAAAAAAGAATTAAAAAGAAAATCTCTATATACTCAAAATAAGAAAATCCTTTCCTATATCGACAGGAGAATTTTGAATAATTTTTTTTGGTCTTATATCATAAATCATGCAAGAACAACCGAAAAAACGGATACAACGAATTCGTTTGTTTTCTATTGAACGGTTTATTATAATAGTGAATTTCAAAATCGAAAGTACACACGAATGCATATAATTACATGATTGAAACTACTTCTGATAATACGGCAACATACGCGCCGTAGAAATCTCCATAAAACAAGGAAGGATGGAAAGCGGGAGAAAAAATGCCTAGATTCTGTTTTTACGGTGACAACATGACAAAGAATTACTTTAATTTTTACGACTTGGTAGAAACGTAATAAATAACGTGACAAGGAAGCGCGCTGACGTAAAAAGAAAGTAAAAGCGACGCGTGATATGTTCGTTACGTCAAGTAGATATTGACGATAATAATAAGTATAACAATATATAATAATAATGCATCGGCAACGGCTACAATAAATAAATATAACAATATTAATGATTTTACATAGGCTGTGAGTGCTAATGGATGAAGTTACGAGTACGGATGATAAGAAGTGCTACTGGAAGGATGAGTTAGCGTGAACAGTCTATGAGGGATAAGTCTTATGGCTACGACGAGATCTTTATTTATATATATATTAATAATACACGAAGACGCAACACTTAGTGCGATATGTATACGAAGCTATGGAATTTCTTGTGAATTAACGTTTGAAACTTAATTTATAATGGATACATTAAGTTTAACCCGATGCAATTTATCGAGTAAATTTAATTTTCAGAAACACATGTATTTCTATAGTTTCTTCTTTGTTTCGCTATCTGACGTCAAGATGGCGACCTTAACGTACAGTAATCTCAGTTTTGAAATTTTATCTCAGCCACTCTGAACTCTGTCAGTTAAGTAAAATTCACTTGAATACAATGAAATGATATGTATATGTAACGAGAGACAGCATCAAAACAATCAAGAACTCTGGTCACTTGTGCTTTTACACGAATATATAAGCACGTTACTATATTTGGAACTTTGAAATAAAGGAAAACCAAAAAAAAAACTCTAAAAACGATGCTACAGTTGTAAAATAACTAACTGAAGTTCATTGATACGAAATACGATCATAGTGCCTATAGATGTTGAATGTTATGTATATTGTACGTTTATCATATAGAGAAGCTCTATTTATTGACAGTATAAGGGTCACTCTGCGACAACTTTCCATTATAGAATCTCTCTAAAGGAATAACGAAAGAAGTGCTGATGAGAATAATCCTCGGTAGGACAGTCGAGCGTCACTTATGTCGAGAAACGAGGGGACTCCCCACTTTGTATACCTGTTACTCTATATGGCCGTAGGTGTCGCCCGCTTCGATATGCGCTGTAAAGCTGCGCAGTGTTCAATTTCCGTTAGGGTTTGAGCAGACTGCCTGACATGGCACATCTTCTTTAGAGGCAGTCACGGAGGCAGCTATAAAGAACAAGAAATCAGGATGGCTTGGCGATGGCGGGGGTTAAGTCGAAAACTTAAAACAAGTTAGGCTGTGGAAATAATTAACGTCAAAATCAGTGACGCTCGACTGTATTTGAATATACAAAAATATAATGGACGAAAATTATAAGAAGCGCGTAGTCACGTAAAATCCGATGAATACAATGTAACTTAAAGATGAGAAAATATATTATGATCGCACACTTATTATTATACCATAATCCTCGATATTTTCATTCGTACACTTTTCTATACGTGTAATATTGATTATTTATTTGTTACAATATCGTGCATAGCTTATAAATATTTTTCAAGATTACTTATTAAAATATTATTTATTCATTATCGGTTGTTTTGCTGTTACTTTCTGTTTCTTCGCTCTCTGTACTAGTCTCGTGTATCTCAATGTTGTTACCTGATTTCTTGGTAAAATTTTCGCCAATCACTCCGACTGTTATAGGATCCTCCACTTCTGGTATTTCGGAATTCAATATTTTAATTCTTTCCAGAGCGAGAATTATCCTTAACTCTACGGTGCCCACTTTCTTCTCGTTGTCAGTCAGTTCCGTATCGGCGTGAGACTCCGAACGGAAAACGGTATCGGATATGTAGAAAGTACTTGAATAATTTTTCTAAAAAAAAAAAAAAAAGATATTAAGTCAGTATCTATGCGACGGTAGTGGCTGTATATGCAGTATTACTGACCACGTGTGACTCCAACTTCTGCTTATATGCCGAATGCTTTTTTGAAGTTTCAAATAAGTAAATGTCATTTATCTGACAGTTACTTAAGTTTCGATGTTTTTCTATTTCAATAACTTTACCACGAGGCTTGTGATTATTAGCAATGGAAACGAGAGTGAACGTGGGTTCCGTTCGTTCCGCATGTATCATCTTTCCGTCCTTGTTGATCCTGTAAAGCACTTCGCATTGGCCAACAGTTGAATTTTCCACGGCACTGAAGTCACCGGACATTCTGTGTTCGAGAACAGTGCCAATACTCAATTGATTGGCTATCGTTCTGTACAAATTTAAGTTTGCCGACGCGTTACGCGATACGACAAGACTCTTTGCGCCATTTTTATCAAAAACAATTTCAAAGCGTGGATTTACAAGCTGATCGAAATAAACCCATTTCCCGAAATATTCAAGATACGATTCGCCTGCGTTCGCGATTTTAGTTTCCTCGTTCCTTATCAACGGATTCTCCATGACGCAGCTCAAAACGTCGGACTTTCTTGGACGACATAACAAATTCGCTGTTACACTCGAATAAAGATATGTGTCTGATTCGATCCGCTCTATCTGGCTGATGTTAAGCTTAAAGTTATACTCCAAATTCGGCGACCAAACATCTTTCTCGATGGGTATACGACCAACTGGTGAAAAAAAGTGTAAATCGTTATAAGCATAACGCTTAATTAATTTTGATATGTTTTTCTAGTTTCTTTCCTTAAAGCGCTACTCACCGAGGAAGAATGGTATCAAGATCACTAACATGATGCTGCTGGATGCTGGACTGATTATTGGAACGAATTGGTGGCTCCCTTTATAGTAAATGGGATGCATTGCTATAGTCGGTTCACGGGGTCAATGTGAATTTTTGACAGTTCGGCAGGAATCCAATCCTTAAGAAATCATACAGGGATTTATATAAAAACACGGAAATATATGCTAAAATAGAAAAATATAATATATATGCAAGATCACGCGTGGCTTGCCGGAAACTTCATTGTTTTTGATCTGTCAAAAAACACATCGAACTCGTGGACCAACTATAGCAATGAACCAAGTAGAGTTAATACATGCTTCATCTTGGTGGTTGAACACAACTTTCAAGAGGTCAAATATTATATGATTTGTTTAACAATAAGATTATTACTATATATGTGTATTAAGTAAATTTTATTGACAAGAAAAGTAAGAAATTGCTTTAGTTTATTATTCTGTCTATTATTTTTCATTTTATATTATTTTCACAATGCATACACCTCTGGATAAGGCGTATAGCGAGGAGTAAACTATATGATATATTGAAGGTGCCTTTGCAAATTTGTAGAAACCGTTTATCTTATTTAAGCAATTTTACTATTAGTGTAATTGCCGCAATTTTTATAAAATCTCCAGGCGAACGAAATGATGCATAACATCAAGAGACTCGGTCGAAACTCGCGCCAAGTACAGGCGACCAGTAATACTATGCACCAGCGGACCGTGACTCGTTTCCCGAAGTCACCCTTGTATTTGTTTTCCGAATCAACTATCTTACAAAAGGCTTCACGTAGGAAAAATGTATTGATACATTCATTATAGAATTTTAACATTTCTCATCGATTGCAATCAATATGAAATTGATTTTTTCCTTTACTTCCTGAGATTCCCCCCCCCCCC